GCAATCACCAACAGGGAATCAGAAGTGAGAGAAAGTGCCAGCGCCTACCAGGTCGCAGGGACCGTGGTTGGCTGAGGAGTGGCATTACATATGCATACAGACATTCAGTCTCAGAAGGGTGGGAGCAGCCCTACACGAAGCCTGGGCCAACACCCTCCTGAGAGGAATAGTTTATACAAATAGTGTACACATACACATAGGCATTTATACAATTAAGTTTAATGATTATTCGAGAAGGCAGCCGAGTGTGATCCTATTTCATGGGAAGTTTTCCTTATTGACACGTAACAACTAAAGGAGAACAATAAGATTCGATCGCTGGTACAAGGTTTTTATTGGCCTGACGTTTCGAAGTCCGTCGCGGATTCCTCCTCAGGGACATTAGCATAAACAGCAGCAGAAATGGGTACTAAATCCACAGGGATTTGCAGTATTTATAAGATACAGATGCACACTTATGACAATTAACAAATTCTCTATCGAGGATAATTGTCCGCTTGTGCGCTAGCTGCTTGCTTGTAGTTGCGGACAAAGCAACTACGTCGAAGAAACTGGAAGACTCCTCAAAACGCGAATTGCCAAACACGCGGCAGCAGTCCTGACAAATGACGCCATTTCCCAGGTTGCGGCTCATTCGACGCACACGGCCACACATTCAAATTTGACGAGACTGCAAATCCCACGAGAGATGACAGTCGTGTGAGTGGCAAATTACTTGAGTCATGGTACCCGGGCCCCCAATCTATAAACAGGTTCAACGACTTGCCAAATCCACATTTGGTACTGAAGCTTAATTTGGTCAAAGCCAGTCGCCACTTGGGGAACGCAAAGGCCAATGCGTCATACAACGTCAACGCCGGGGAACCAATTGGCTGAGCAATCATCATGTCCAATTCCACCACGCGTGATGAAAGTCTAGCAGGTCACGGCCCGCACGTCGGTCACCAAGCGATTAGCGCACAAGCGGACAATTATCTTCGATAGGGGAGTCTTCAAGTGTCATACGTTTGCAGTATCATAATGACTGTATCCTATAAATACTGCGACTCCCTGTGTATGAATTACCTGTTTCAGTTACCGTTTATGCTAATGTTTCTGATGAAGAATCCCCGGCGAACTGCGAAACGTTAGACAA